GTCTATATCTCACACACACACACAAATGGCCAGGTAGACCATTTAATACTTGTTGAAATGAATACAGTATTTACCCACAGCAAATATTAGCTGTACAAATTTGAAAACAACAAACTGTAGAACTGAGAGTATCTCACAAGCAGGGATGATCTGCAGTCCACAGTGTAGCATACAGAGATGGTGGAAGACTGCTCACCTTATCAACTGTTTTTGCCTTAATGACGCTGATATAATAAAGTACCTTCAATACAACTGGAAGTTCCACAGGATATTTTAAAATTTGGCTTCTTTTTGTGGACATTTCCTAGCTGTGAGGCTTTCTATTGGTGACTGGAAAATTTGATGATTAACTGTGATTCTTAGCATATTTTGGAAAGACAGAAATCGCAGCCCTGGGATTGTGAAGCTAAAGCTCTCCAGAAGGAGAAGAATCTTAAAAGAAGATGGAGTCACATGGGAAGTTGCTTTAATAATCCATGGTACAATAGGGAACATGCAGTAAGGTGAATGAATGGATAAATGAAAAAATAAAGGAGTGAATAGATAAATAGGTAGGGAGGTAGATTATTTAGATAGGTAGGTATGTTAATGGAAAGATAGAAAGGGTTACCCAAACCCTGAAGATAGAAGAAGACTATAAAACAAGGTCAAAGACTAGGGAATATTTAAAATAATTCTTCACATTTCCATTCAAATTTACCCTAAATGAGAGGTTCTCAAAGTTAAGGTGTGAGAATTGGGGAGCATGTCATGCATTGGAGCTTCTCCCAAATGATGGTTTATGCTCGCTTTCCCCAGCTCCATTCTTGACAAATCTAGAGTTTCAGTAGGGTGGGGAAGAGGGGACTCCCTAAATAGTGTCTTCCTTCTTGATGTAGATGTTTTCAGTGTTTAGTACAAAGAGCAAGGCTGAGGCCAGGCACGGTGGCTCACGCCTGTAATCCCAGCACTTTGGGAGGCCAAGGTGGATGGATCATGAAGTCAGGATATCCAGACCATCCTGGCCAACACGGTGAAACCCCGTCTCTACTAAAAATAAAAAAATTAGCCAGGCATGGTGGTGTGCACCTGTAGTCCCAGCTACTTAGGAGGCTGAGGCAGGAGAAACACTTAAACCCAGGAGGTGGAGGTTGCAGTGAGCCGAGATCGCACCACTGCACTCCAGCCTGGGCGAGTGAGTGAGACTGTGTCTCAAAAAAAAAAAAAAAAAAAGAAAGAGTGAGGTGGAAATTTGCGACTTTCCACCCCTTTCTGGACTTACTGCTAGTGAAATATGACATCCAGAATAAGCTGGGTTGAAGGCTTATCTTTGTGTTAAAATGTTTATCTACTTAGCAGATGAACAAAAGAAGTCCCTATAATATAAACAGACATTTGCACTTTCAATAACCTAAACTATCATTTTACTAATTCACAAAAGAACTTTACAGGATAGATATGTGGTCACTAGAATCATTTCATACAAGATAGACACGTGGTCACGAGAATCATTTCATACAACTTGCATTACCTGTTCCATGTTTAATGGTCAAACAAAAGCAGTCAGCACTTGTTTAGGCCAAACACCCTGGGGGCTTTATCAGTAAGGATAACAGCCTAACTGAACAACAGTGATAATTATCTGCTTCTACATTCCTAGCTTTCATTATATACCCCAAAGATTTATATACCTAGAAACTGATTCTCTTAGGTTTTAATACCTTAGGGTTTAATTTACTCTGTAATAGGAGGCTGCATAGATTACCTATTGAAGTGAGAGGTGTTGAAAACCTTAAAAAAATCCCATTTAGTCATTTTTGTTTTGCTTTGTTTAGAGAGGGTGTCTTTCTGACATCCAGGCTGCAGTAAACTCCTAGGCTCAAGGGATCCTCCTGCCACAGCCTCCCGAGTAGCTAGGACTGCAGGTGCACACCACCATGCCAGCTAATTTTTTAAATAATACTTTGTAGAAATATGGTCTTGTTATGTTGCCCAGGCTGGTCTCATACTCCTAGCCTCAAGTGATTCTCCCCCCTCAGCCTCCTAAAATGCTGGGATTATGGGTGTGAGCCACCACAACCAGTCCCATTTAATAGTTTTAAAATAAGATATTTAAGACTGATATTGGAGTTAATATTTTCTCCTAAGAATAATGGCTAGTCTAGGGAAGAAAGAAAAGCAAAACCTGAGTCTAATAGTTTAACATTATATTCCCGCAAACCACATAACACTCTCTAAATGAAACTAGAGATCTCCTTCTAAGTAAATAGATCACAGTCAAAGTCAACAGTATATCATCCTTGTCAACAACAAAAAATTTCCTAGATTTTGAAAGAATAATCTTGTTGCAGAAAAGTCAGGATAAAAAATGAAATAAAGAAAAAGAATAGTTCCCTTAAAATAACTTTATAATTCTCTATTTTAATACAGCTCTTGTATTCCATGACCTTCAGATTATTTTAGAAATCCACATATTGATTGCTGCCTCTACCACATGGAGACCAGTGTATATATTTCATACTATTTCAAAAAAAAAAAGTTGCAAAGCCTAATAAAAACAGGCCACTGAAATGGGTATTTAAAAATGACTTCTTGAAACATTGCTTGCTGTTTACTAATGCAATGGAAGAGATATTACCACTCTGTTTTGAGATTTAAGCAAAGTTACCTTTAAGCAAAAATCTATAGAAATGAGTTAGATAATCCTGCTCTGTATGGAGATAAAGGCAGAGACTTGAGGAGAAACATTTAACCAGGTGCTGTGGCCAGTACATTTGGTGTTTACAGCGGATGGCACGTGCCTAAGAACAGGAAGTTTACTCAATCCCTGTGCTGCTGCAGAAATGGCACCTAGATATACTTCAATATCATTTCCTTATAGGAGTCTAACATCTAGAATTAGACGCTGTTATTTATTTAAAATATAATGGGTTACTGGTTATCACATTTGTGCTTTCTGCTCTGTGCTAACAAAATGAGTTCAAGAAATAGCTTAATACAGCCTGAGAGGTTTAGGGGCACATTTCCTAGAAGCAGGAATTGGGCACTGAAAAATTATTAAGGAGAAGGTTGGTTCTAGAATCTGTACCTTGAGCAGTTTAGTTCCATCACTTCTGCAATTTACCAAGTCTTAGTATAGGGTATTGTGGAGTGGGGACCATGAGGGCTAGAAAGCTCCTAGTGTCCTGAAGTCCTATGCTTCAGTCCACCTGGGTTCTTCAAGATAGAGCAGGGTCTTCATTAAAAGGAAAGGAAAAAAGAGAAAGGGAGACAACACAGAAGACCTAGAAAGGACTGAAAACCCTCCATTTTTCATTCTCTTATGCCAACCACAAAAATGTTCCACAAATGAAGTAATAAACAATGTAGACCATTCACATACAGTCTATACTATTTTCTGCTTCCATTTAAAAATGCAACGCTGTGTTCTTTGTTAACTTTTAAGTTCAGGGATACAGGTGCAGGTTTGTTGCACAGGTCAATGCGTGTCATAGGGGTTTGTTGTACAGATTATTTAATCCCCCAGGTATTAAGCCCAGCATCCATCAGCTATTCTTCCTGATACTCTCCCTCCTCCCACCTTCACCCTTCGGTGGGTGGGCAGCAGTATATTTTGTTTCCCTCTATGTGTCCATGTGTTCTCATTATTTAGCTCCCACTTATAAGTAAGAGCACGTGGTATTTGGTTTTCTGTTCCTGCATTAGTTTGCTAAGGATAATGGCCTCCAGCTCCATCCATGTCCCTGCACAGGACATGATCTCATTCTTTTTAATGGCTGCATAGTATTCCATGGTGTATATGTACCACATTTTCTTTATCCAGTCTATCATCAATGGCCATTTAGGTTACTCCATGTCTTTGCTATTGTGAATAGGGCTGCAATGAACAGACATGTGCGTCTGTCTTTATAACAGAACGATTTATGCAGAGCTGTTTTTCCAGAGTTGCTTTTGCATGAGTGACTAAATAAGCCACTGCTTTCAAGTGTTTTGAAATTATAAAAAGGTATACCTTCTCTAAAGCTATTAAGTTTGTTGTAATAGGCTGTAGGTTCTCCTAGAATTTAAACCGTTATGTTGCTTTTAAATAAATAATTGTCTCTCAAAAGCACTTATTTGACCAGTGCTTCCAATCATAGGCTTCAGAGATTGGTTTCTGCAAATAACCTAATAATGATGATTTATGTTATTCAAATTTGGCTCTAGGAAGAGGGACCCAGATATCTCAACCCAACCCAACACTTCATTGAAGACATGAGGTAGAGACACAAAGAGAATAACCTTAGAGATGAAATGTACCTAACAGATTAAAATCGTTAATCTAACAGAATGCCATTTAAACAATGTTAAGGGATGCAAGTGACAATGATACTGATACTTAAAATATACCTATATTTATCTATTGAATTTTCATTTATTCTAATAAATCAAGGAAATGAAGAAACTGCCATAAAATGTAAATTTCCACAATTTTCACTAGAAAGTTTGTATACTTAAAAAAATCACTTGGAAATAAATTTGGTTTATTCATCATAGTACTTAAGTACTGTTTTAGATAATATTAGTGGCTTAGTATATGGATATTCAGAATGGCTACCAATAGACATAGTCTCCTAGGGAAAAATAAGGTTCTTTAGAACTAAATCCCTATGTTGTTAGCTCTAGAGCAAGTAAACTAATCCAGTAACCTTCAGGGAATGACGCATTTCTCTCTTAAAACAGGCAGAACAGCTCACTCAAGACTTTCATTTCCATTTGTGACCAACTGTGCTGGTTCACAAAGTTGCAAAGCAAAGTTTCTAATAAACAAATGCGTCTTTTGTTGCCTACTCTACTGAAGTAATGCCCCCTGTACAGAGCTTGAACATTCCTCACAAAGCTTTGGTGGCTGTTGGCACAATAATGATCGTGGAGTGTCTATTTGTACACCATTAATTATGCTGTGATCCCTAGTGAACTGCCTGTTTTTCTTTTGCAAAAACCTAGAACACGGTATACAGCTTATTTTGTGTTTCTTTTAGATATATTATAATACAAGAAATTTAGTTCCAACATATCCAAGCTGTCCCTTCAGAAGGTGATCAGAAGAGAGAAATGAGTTTGGAAAAGAAAATGAATAGGTGAACAAAAGTAAGAGTTTCTGCAATAAAGCCTTAAAAGAGAATAAAAATGTGGAAAAGTGAAGGTAGACACTGGAGCTGCATTTAAATAGTTCTTAGGAGCCCAAAGTAAGACATGTTCTGTAAAAGTAAAACTTACAGGGGGATCAACCCTTGTCATTAAAATCCGGAGTATCTGGATGAAAAACCAAACTGTGGTGGGAACTGTGGGCAGGTGCTTTTACACAGCGACGTGATATTAAAATTCTACAGACTGAACTGAAATATTTCTACTGTGGCAATCGTAAATCATATACAAAACCACAATTAAAACTAATTTAACATGTGAAAAAGTCAGATACTCTTATCAGGAACAGTTCATTATTATAGGTAAATAAACACAGCATAAGTATATAATAAATTTTAGATTAATAATATATACAATATAATTGTGATTATTTATATAATCAAGGCTTTCATTTGAGGCCTTGATGCTCATCTTTGCACACTGTCAGTTTTTCATTTTCATATTCTTTTCATATCCCTCGTATATATATGAAGGCAAATGATTTCAGGAATCTAAACCCCGAGAAAACATGGGGAACAGAGAATAACTTTTGCTGTGATATCTACTTCTGCAGTGAGTAGAGAAACAGAAATAGAATATAAATCTGAGGTGAGCCAGAACTCATTTCTTTACTTCCTATTTGAAGCTGATTTCCCCTACACCTTCTCTGACAAATCACAGGCCAAAGAGTTCCTGTGACTAAATATCTCCCAATTACCAATAATATAGAACTTCCTACAGAATGTCTCACTGATAAATTAGCACACAAGCTTCTACCCTATTCTAATTCATGGATAAGGAACACTGGAAAGTTATTTTGAAACAAATCCCATTAAAATGTAATTTAAGCTATAATCAGAAAGGAGCATAAAAACTGCACTGAATTGCTGGTAGAATCATAAATTGGTACCATTCTTTTGAGAATATCTTTGTAAATATGTGATGAGCTTTAGAAATGCTTTTATCTTTTGACACAGTAATTCTACTACTGTTCAGATTTTGAAATTGCGGATAAGTGATTCTGGATCTGTAAGACTAAAAAACCAGAACCACACTGTCCATCAAAATGGGACTAGTTGCATTATAAATAAATGTATATTATATAAATAAAATTGTGTTATATAAATTACATGGTTACTGGAAGGGTGATACTACATGGAACATTTACTTCACTTTTTATCTTTTTTTTTTTGCTTTGAAAAAATAAGCAGCATGTTTTAATTTTGCTGCCTAAAAAGACAAAGGTTGTTCTTATTTTTTAAGAGAAGGGGTCTCAATCTGTCACCAAGGCTGGAGTGCAGTGGCACAATCATAGCTTACTGCAGCCTGTAACTCCTGGGCTCAAGCAATCCTCTTGCCTTAGCCTCCTGAGTAGCTGGTACTACAGGGTGCACAATACTATGCTTGGCTAAAATAATTATTCATTCAATAATATTTAGTGAGTGCCAACTATGTACTAGTCACTGTTCTAGGGATACAACAGTTTTAAAACAGTCACTTCCCTCATGGAGCTTGAATTCTGCTAATGTAAGACAACAGTAATTAAAGATTAAAAGTGCTACAAAGACAAAGCAGGATGGGACATTAAAGTAACAGGGTGACTATTCAAAGTAGGCTCACCAGACTTATGAGAAACACTCAATTTAAAATTTTAAATGAAAAACCATTGTCAGAAAAAAAAATCAGTGCACCATCAAGTCAAAAGAACATCAGGAACATCAATGTTCCAACCTACTGAGATCCAATTACAGTAAATGCCCTCTAGAAACCTGTACTAATATAACTTTCTAAAACTAAAAAGATTCCTCTGAAAATGCTCCCATACTTACTCAATTATGGATTTTTACCTTTGAGTTCTTTTCCATTTATAATAGATCAAAATAGCATGTGTATAGTATTCTAATTACACTAGTCATAATGGACTTTTATTTAATTGATCATCCCAGTGCTGTTTTTTTAAGTAAGTGTTTAATGCATATTAGGCTTTTTAAAAAAGGCTAAAGATGCAATATTATAAGCAGAGGAAGAATAAAAACAAAAGCATTATGTGGAGACATAAAAGTTAAAGCTATCAAATATCTAACAAGAATTCAGAATTTGACCTTCAGTGCAGACATTTTTCAATTTTATCTAAAGTAAATGGGATAGAAGCTACAGGTACAGAAAACTTTTAAAACTGTACCCTGGGTTGAATGAAAAACAGTGACCAAACTCAAGATATCAGTACTTGCCGGTTAAATATGTAGCAATTGTTAATACTATTGCTGATAGCCTAGAAGGTAAAGTAAATAAACAGACAGCCAACAAAGACAGAATTATTTATGTCCTCCTGTTCTGTGCAGAATTGGGTCCTAAGTGCTAAGGAAGGCAGCAGAAGAGAAGCTGGCTCCTGTCCTCAAGGCATTTTTGATTAGTAACTGCTTTCTCCCCCCTTCCCAAGCAGAAGTCACTTAAAAAGAACAATGAGAGATAAAAACTTTTACAGATTAGAAAACAGCCTGAAATAACATTTGAAGTTTAGTAAAACCATATGCCAGGTAGATGTAAAAGTGAAAAGAAAATCAAATGACGGAAATAAAATGGGAAAAAGACTGGTTATACATAACTTAACAGGAATTTTTAAAACGTCTAGGGTATATAAAAACTGAAAATAAATGCAAAAAATTAGCCAGGTATGGCGGCGGGCGCCTGTAGTCCCAGCTACTTGGGAGGCTGAGGCAGGAGAATGGCGTGAACCCGGGAGGCGGAGCTTGCAGTGAGTCGAGATCGCGCCACTGCACTCCAGCCTGGGCGACTGAGCGAGACTCCGTCTCAAAAAACAAACAAACAAACAAACAAACAAAAACCAAACCTGAAAATAAAATCAGAAAGAAGTAAAACAGTCTCTCTGTTAATAGCCTTTTAAAATGCCAAGCTCCACCTATCAGCAGTGAATAGAAAATCAGCCAAGTAGTTATCCTATTTGGTTTGGCACTGGTCTATCCATGGGAGTGAACTATGATCAAAACTGTTTTCTAAAGGGTGAAATGGGCTTAGAAAAACACAGGATGATTAAAATCGCTGTCTCTAAACCTGAACATAATGCCAAGAGGTAGTCAGGAAACATTACAAACTCAATGTTCAATTAGCATTAGGAAGCTAAAAGATGTAATTTTATAGTTAATCTTATTTCCATTAAATCTAATTGTCATTGATGACCCTATATAAATAAAAGTGCTTGCCTATAAATAATCACTTTAATTGCTTTTTAAAATATAAACATGCTATCAAATATTTATATTTAAAAATATCAAAGAATTATACTTCTTTGCTTCCCATGAAACAAAGAAACAGCCTAGAAAATGAGTTGTTTTTATTGTTTCTAAAATTATCTCTTACAGCATAATCTGCATCGGTAAGTATAGGACATTGGGAGCCCATTTCCAAAGCTTATACCAAACCAAACGAGACCAAAAATGACATTCTGGTTAATGTGCCTGGTTAAGATACCTTAGAGGCAATCTTAAAAATGGCAAAAGTGATTATGGGTTAATGGGGGGTATCTTTAAAGGAAAATAATGAATTCCATCTAAGAGTTCATAGCTCTAAGAACAAAGAAAAAGCAGATGCTTACAACTCATGTACCAAAACACACTTGCCATTTCCTTCCAGTCAGACACCTCCTCTTCCATTTCTTATCACAGTAAATGGTACCGCCATCCAATCAGGTCTTCGGAGTAAACAAATGTTAGCTATTATTCAACTTCAAACTCCCGCCCCTGCTCACCTGAAAATCACTCCAAATCCTGTCCGTTTTAACCTCCCATCTATTTACCTCTGCTCTCTTTTCACAGACATCTCTTACTTACAGAGGACAGACGTAAGTCCAAACAAATCAACAGCCACAACAAATTTTAAATGGATTCAATCCATCCACTAACAAGATACATACAAGATTATTTTGTAAATAAAAGGCTGATAAAGTATTAGGAATAGCAGGCATTACTAGTACTTTTACAAGTAGAGTACAAAGTAAAAGTATTAAGAGAAAATAGATAATAGAGAACAGCTCACCAAGAAAATATAAAAAGATGGACATTCTTACACAAGGGAAAACTGACAGCTCCACAATCATGGTATTTAATGCAGCACTCCCTTCCTCTCTGCTTTTGTTCCTAATCTATTTCCTGCTTTACTGACCTCATTAAAGACCTTAAATGGCTCCCTATGACCTAAAAGTCCATTGCTTATTTTGACTTAAGAAAAAATTCATAATAGAAAATCTCAAACATAATGAAAGTAGAAAATACTACAGTGAACCCCATTAGCTATAACAATTATCACAGGAAATCTTTTTTGTTTCTTAATCTGTCCTCTACTCTGTATTTTTGGAAGCAATCTCAGAGACCATGTAATTTAATCTGTAAGATAGAGATTCTTTTTTCCCCAACATGACCCTAATGCCATTTTTACACCTAACAAAATTAACACAATTTCCTTAAAAAACAAATACCTAGTCAGGTCACCTTTATCCAATTACTTATTCTCAAGACTGCTTTTTAGATGGTGGCATGTCCTTCTGACATCTACTGTTTCTTAGCATTGCTTACAAGGCTTTTCATAATCTGGCCCCTACCTTCACTTCTAGCCTCGATTTTTGAAACTAGTTTTTTCTATTCCCTAAATCCTGCACTTCCACCATATTTACTGAATTTCTGTTCATTTCACATGCAATATCCCCTCTTATCAAGCTTTATGTATAATTTTTATAGCGGCCTAAACTTCTTCCCAACCCCATCCATTTGCTTACACACTTGCCTCTCATGCTTCAGGTCTCAGCAGATGTCACATCTTCCAACAAACCTTTCCTGCTACAACTTCCTGGTATGTGCTACTGGACCTAGAAATGAACTTTCAAATACAGCACTTGCTACCCAGTTGGGTTACAAAACCCAGTGTCCCCTCCCCCCTAAATTCCTTTTTAAAAAGAAACACCAATTTATAACATTCTGCTTCTTAAGAAACCAACCTTCCCCTCTTGGGTGGTTTGTGCCCAACATGTTCATGGTATGGCTACTATTCTTTACGTCTACCTTTTGACCTATATTCATGCACGATCATACAAATCTCTTAAAAATGGTGTTCTGTAAGTGCAAATCAGACTTGTTCAAAGGCTGCCAATAGTAAGAAAATACACAAAATTACTTGAACATAATATTCAATAATCATAAAGCTTTCACATGTGAAACATATCTGGATGTGATAAAGACAGGTACAAAAAGGATAGTGGAAAAAGAAAATCCTAACTCCAAAATAGGGCTTCAGAATCCTACAGTTACAGGAGCAGAAAAAGGCTTCATTTTATTCTGAAAATGACAGCTTTTTTTTTTTTTGAGACAAAGTCTCACTCTGTCGCCCAGGCTGGAGTGCAGTGGCACGATCTCGGCTCACTGCAACCTCCTTCTCCCGGGTTCAAGCAATTCTTGTGCCTCAGCCTCCCGAGTAGCTAGGATTACAGGCGTCTACCATAATGCCCAGCTAATTTTTGTATTTTTGGTAGAGACAGGGTCTCACCATGTTGGCCAGGCTGGTCTCAAACTCCCGACCTCAGGTGATCCACCTGCCTCGGCCTTCCAAAGTGCTGGGATTACAGGCAAGAGCCACCGCACCTGGTTGGCAGCAACTTTAAGAACAAGAATGTACTCATCAAGGGCATTATTGCTCTTCAACAGATAATGGCCTAAATACACACTTTCTTTGCAGAGGTTTTTACTGATGTGCAATCAGAAACCTTAATTTGAAGATCGACAGTGAAAAACAGTTTTCTAGGAAATGTTGGTTGACCACTTTGTGCAGCTTTCCTTACCTACAATAAAATCATGCAAAACTAAGTAAAAGTGAAAATGTCTCCAAGCCTTTAACAATCTAATTTATATTGCAAACCCAAGTGATTATTATATTGTGGCTTTGTTGTTATTTTAAGCTTTTATTTGGAAAAGTATTTAAAAATATACACTTTAAACAATTTCATCAACATTGTGATCATGCAAAGCTAATTGGGCTTTATCACTATTATGCTATATTCCTCTGCCAAAAATATATTTTTATTTCAGTTTAACAACACTAGATTGGAATATTTTCCAAGTGTTTAAAAATTTTGACCATGTATCCTATTAATGATTTAAATTTATATAGCCTGTGCTTGACTCGGCAGCACATATACTAAAATTGGAACGATACAGATATTAGCATGGCCCCCACACAAGGGTAATAACACAAATTTGTGAAGTGTTCCATGTAAAAAAATAAAAAATAAATTTATATAGCCTAGACTTAAGAATAAGAGCTATAGCTAACACTCATAAGTACTTACTATTGCCCAAACACTATAGTTCTAAATATTTTGGTTATCTTATTTAATCTTCCCCACAACTCTATGAGATTAAATATTATTACCCATATTTTACAGATGAGCACAGAGATATTAAGTGAATTGCCCAAGGTCACCAGCTAGTAAGCAGTGAAACCAGCATTTGGTACTTTGGTAGCTCTGACTCGGCAGGCTGTTCTACCCGTCCTTGGGAAAAGCATCATAAATGAGCACACACCTTCAGGGTGAATTCTTACAGCAAAGAAAAGGAAATGGGATAGCACAGCCCTGCTATGTCAGAAGAACCAACATCAAACACCAGTGGATTCTCATAGCAACATCTCTCCCGCTGCTTCCTCTTGACACACAGGAAAAATGTTCCAGATCAACTGGGAAGACTGGCATTGCATTTATAAATGTAATTCCCAGGCTGGGTCAGTATCTCCTCCAACCTTTCCAATTACGTTCATTTCAGATATAGGGGACAGAAATGCTCCAGAAAAGAACTAGACCATACTTGGAGGAGGAGAGAAGGAGTAAACCCTTCATCTGTATTGTGAACTATGTCGAGAGCAGTATATTACAGTACAGAGAGTCTTGGGGAGACCATGTGCATATGTCTTTAGGCCTCCATCTCCTTTCAACTTGAGGAGCTCTGCTTTTCTTTCTATGTTAGAAGGGTTGCCCAAAATCTCATCTGAAATATGGGTTCCATGGCTAAAGAAGTTTAAAAACTGATAGTGCCATGACAAAGCCCTGGATCAGAAGTCAAGAGACCAGAATCTTTCTCTCAATTTGGCCACAAACAAGTCATGATTAATCCTGGGTCGGTAATTTGCAATCTTGGGTTGTAGTTTTCTCAGTGTAACACCATTACTTTACAGATTTCTACGACTCTTGGCCATATAAAAATATATCATTATATAAAAAGAAAGAAATAAAAGATATGTTAGTGACCTCACCAAAGAAAGTTTAAAAAGGTAAATAAAAATCCCATGTCTCACAGAAAGAAAAGAAGTAGGGTAAGGTAATTTACTGATAAAGAATGTACTAACCATCATATGATCTAGTGCTCAGAACACCACCATGAGATTGGTCCCATCATATAAGAAATCAGTATTTCCCAAACACTTTTTTTTTTTTTTTGAGACAGAGCTTCGCTCTTGTTGCCCAGGTTGGAGTGCAATAGCTTGATCTCAGCTCACTGCAACCTCCGCTTCTCAGGTTCAAGTGATTCTCCTGCCTCAGCTTCCTGAGTAGCTAGGATTACAGGTGCATACCACCACACCCGGTTAATTTTTCTGTTTTTAGTAGAGACAGGGTTTTGCCATGTTAGCCAGGCTGGTCTCCAACTCCTAACCTCAGGTGATGCACCTGCCTCGGCCTCCCAAAGTGCTGGGATTACAGGTGTGAGCCACCATGCCCAGCCAAGAGTCTTTTTTTAACTTGGTATTTTTATTTAGCTTGATGCAGATAATTTGTGGATAACATATCCATATGAATTTACTATTAATAAATAACAAAAGTTTATTCAATAACCATGGCCCCTACAACATGCCCTTGCTAATCTCAGAAGCAAATTAAATACAGGTCAAGTGTACATTGTAACATCTTAGAATCCTAAAATCCAGGTTCTAACCTGACTCTGCCACTTGATGAGAATTAATGCAATCTCCCAGGTTCTTAGTTTCTTCTGTCCTACCCCTATCACATTCTCAAATAAGGGGCTATGCTAAATGATTGGCCATTGGCATATCATAGTTGATCTTATGCTTTTATTTCTTGTGGCAATCACACAGTTAGAATAAGCCACATGAAAAGGAAAATACATTCATGGAAGAATCACCCATTAGGTTCTAGTCACTACTTAAAGCATCTGAATGGAACAAGAGGAGACTATGGGGGTGCAGGGGAGGCTTCCACCAGGACTGAAACTAATTAAATAAGATCTTAATGAAGAGAGCTCCTGATTCAAGTTTATTAGAGAAGAAATAAGGCATTAAAGAGAATGAAAATATTTTTATAAAGTTGTAGGTAAAGGTCATATTCCCTAGAACAAGAGACGTTAATTAGAAGGTAAACAATGGAAAAGTTATTGGGCAAGCTCAGAGGCCAACAGGAAAGAACAGAAAAAAGTATTATGCTTTATAATGCTAACTAACCATTATACAGATGCAGATTCAAAATTAGGAAATAATATAATACCAATTAGTATAAACTGGTTAGTATTTATAAATAGTTGGTGCTTTAAAAGGCCTTTTCCAAAATACCTAAAATTGAAATATAATAGTATCCCAAGTAATCTGAAATTGCATATTTTGATTTAAAGTTGGACTATAAATTCCATTAGCATTCATGTTTAAAGGTAGACAATTTACAGTATTAAGCTAGATGAGACCTCTATTGTAACAGATTAGCAATCCCAGATTGTATATTTTGTTCTGGGTTGCAGACTATTCCAGTTTTAACATCATACATGACATACACTCCTAAGCCAGATAGCTTTGAGAAAGCAGCTGATTATGTCTTAGAATTTTGTTAATTAAAACTATAAATTCCTATCTCAAATGCTTTTTGGAACAAACAAATGTAAACAACATGAATTCTATCGAAGCTTTTTTATTTGAATCACTTGAGACATTATTTATGGCTGCTTTTGAAAATGTTATGTTTGTTCAGTGATATTTTACAAATAATGTTAATACAGTTTTCCACCAAGTAACATAAAGATATCTGATGAAAGATGGAGAATCTAAATTCATGTAAATTGTAATAAAATAGAAACACCTCTGGGCTCTTTATAAAATAAACCAAACTTAAATGCATTTTCCCCAAACCAACACACACTTACAGAAAGTTATTCAAGGCATAAGACTGCATATAAAACAGGGATTCTACCTTCAACATTAAATTCAGTGAAGCACTTTATATATTGTGACTTCAAGGAAAGCTGGGAAATGTTATAGTTCAACAGGCTTTCTCCTTTACTTTTTATAGAGATTGAAAAGTTAACCTTAAGTCACGAGGCCATTATGTTGGCAATAAATAAATCATTATATCATGTTATACACCTTATTATATACAATTTTTGTCAATTAAAAACACATATTTTAGGCCGGGCGCGGTTGATCAAGCCTGTAATCCCAGCGTTTTGGGAGGCTGAGATGGGCGGATCACAAGGTCAGGAGATCGAGACCATCCTGGCTAATATGGTAAAATCCCGTCTCTACTAAAAAATACAAAAAACTAGCCAGGTGTGGTGGCAGGTGCCTATAGTCCCAGCTACTCGGGAGGCTGAGGCAGGAGAATGGCATAAACCGGGAGGCGGAGCTTGCAATGAGCTGAGATCCGGCCACTCGGCCACCGCACTCCAGCCTGGGCAACAGAGCGAGACTCCATCTTCAAAACAAAACAAAACAAAACAAAACACAAAACACATATTTTAAAAGAAATCTTTATGGCTATTGAATAAAACGTCAAGTACTTATGTTGTACAACTGACCAGAGTTTCTACCTAATTCAAATTAACTATTATGACCGGCTTTTGAGGCAACCCTGAGAGTCACTCCCCAATCCTTTTCATCCCTTTGACTTTCAGGCCAACTACTTCCTTGGGAAACACCACCATCTCTCAGTCAGCAAAGACAGAACCAGAGAGAGAGACTGCAAGTTCAGGAAGAAAGGTTCCAACTACTTTTACTCTCTGTTGCATCTCCTAATGTCATCACTTTCTCAGAGCAGGATTTAGTCACTACTACAAAACACTGCTCAGGAACTGCAGAGCCACTAGCCTGGCATGTGGTGACACATTCCCAACACAATTCTCTAACATTCTGATTTCCTTTCCAAAAATAAATTCAAGCAAAATTAGAACTCTTAAAGATCAGATTGAGATTGAATGTCATTGGCTTTCTCCCCATACCTATGATCCTACACATCTCTTCAGCCCAGCACAGGGTTTTAAAGCTCACTGCTCACACAGGGCTATCTCCTCTGCTGGTTATGAGCTGCAAGGACAGAGTCCATGTCCTGTTTGTGTTGGTGTTCCTGGCCACTAGCCAAGAACTTGCAGCCCAGCCCTAGAATAGCAGCTGAATGAATGTGGCAGCCCACACACTCAAAGACACCAGAATTATCTTACCCTTTCCCAGAGAGCTTCAGGTACCTTTCTTTTCCTAAATGATTCACTAATGTGTCTGTATAATTATGGTTTCCATATGTGACGCAGAGCCCCAAAATTTCATCTTACTGTGGTTTACTTTCTGTGATTGCATTTTTATTATAAAATATCTTATATAAAAAGGGGGATATAATGGAAGGGAAAAACAGTAAAGCAAAAACCCATATCTAGCTTCAGAGCATTACATATCCACTGGAAACCCTAAAGCAATGCTCCATGAGCGCACGGCCTTTCCACTGCATAGCCCTGAGGTCATTTTTTGATACATAATTCTCAAACTATGTAGTGCTGAAAGACCTTGAAGAGATTCCTTAAATGATTTATGGTTAAAATTTCTATGATTGCAGTCCTGGAAATCATAAAAGAATAAATATATCCTTGGAAAAGACCTCACTTCTCTTTTTCTTCATTTCTTCACAATTCAGCCCCCACCTCTCAAGGAGCTATGTAAAGCATGGCGGGCAAGCTAATGCATCCCCAGAGTTTATGACAGATACTAGTTCTAGTGTTTCCCAAATACTAACATTAATACACACAACTACTGTATGGGGTACAATCGCCCCTAGCTGAGGTATGAGAAGTTAGAAATCTAACAAGTGACAGAGGTAGGATTTGAACGCATCTGAGTCCAGGCTCCTGGGTAACTATGCTATGTTGTGTTTTTCTGGGATCTTGGGCTATTTTTACAATTAGAGATGTGACCTAAGGGCAATGGATTTCCATCCTGGTGAGTTCTTTTGGGGAGAGACTGCACTTCTCCCAGCCCTGTCCCCAACCCTTCCTCCTCATAGTTACCACGTAGGAGCAAGCAAACTATCCATGTTTGCCCAGTAAGGTGGCATTCTTTCAAACATTAGCTGGCCCCCCCTTATAACACACAGGCTAGAAGCTCTAGGTCACTTGACCTCAGAGCACGTGCAAATGTTTATCAGGCTACCCAGTGACTTATAGAGGAGGCATTTCCTGGAAACATCGTGGTTAGACATTTCATTCAGTGAGGTGTTCAGAGCATCTGAATCACTTTTGTTGCCTAGTAACTTGTTTGTGTTTGGCAGGATGAAGACAACTCAGGCACAGATACAGTCAGACACAAGGCAGGTATCTATTCAGCACAACATCCTCCCAACACTAGACTGCTGATTTAGTGCTTAAACTTGACACTGTTCTTTCTACTTTCTCACTGTTGGTAGAGGCCCCTTCAGTCATTCTCTTTAAGTCAGGAGCATTCAAAAGGCACTATGCTGTACAGAGAATCAACAGATCCTTTGTAGCTGAAATATAGGCTACTCTTTTTCCTATAGAGTTTTGAAAAAAAAAAAACTTTTAAGACAAAGCTAATTACAGGGTTCTTACGTATAAAAGGGAAAGGAGTTACATGGTATCATGGAAATTACTTGTCATCCCTAAAAGAATTAGTTCTCCCACATATTCACATATCTGTCCCTTTTTTTGATAACAAGAATTGATTACCACAATATAAGTAGCTTCAGAATCAAGGAGGTTCACCCTCCAATACTGTCGTGAATACAAATATATAGCAAAGCTGGCTAAAGTCACTTTACTAACCTTCATCTTCAAATTTAAGTTAGCATGTGTGCCTGGGTTACTCTAAGAGCCAAAAGTCTAGAACAAATCACTCTGGGCTTGCATTCCATTATACATTCTCTGACAGTTATGGCTTTTCCTCTATTATTTTATGTCTCCGCTACTTTCTCATCATTTCTATGCATTAAATATTCAGAGGAGGAAAAGTGGTTTTAAAAAAGCTGCCCCGCCACCGCCCCAATACTGGGGTTTCTGTTGTTCTTTCATTTTTGCTCTTCTTGTCAGAGGACATGCCCGCTATAGAAACAAGAAAATAAGATGTAGGGTGTGCTTAAATGTTACTCCTAATCTTAGTGGGAAAGTCCTGAGTTCTAGGTTTATTTAATGTTTATGGACAGGAGGACACAAAAATTGTTTAGAAAATTTTATTTTTTCTTCCTTTCATCCAATAATATTCATCCTAACCTTGGGGTTTCAGTATGCCTGATATTCATAAGTACTATTAAAAATCAAATAGATATTAATTACTTCACTTTAACAACTATAAAATGGGTATGAGTTTACTTAGCAAAGGTTTTCAACTTAAGCATATGTTAATCCTTTATCTCCTCCAAAATATTTTTCTTTTAGAAAGGCATATTTAAGGAAAAAAATCTTTCCATATTAAAAAATTCTTGAATTCCACCAGACAAAGTCCAGAACAGACGTAAGAAAAGAATACTCTCATTATCTAGAACTGGCTAACTGTAGACTGCAATTACTAGTGGCAAGAAATAAGGGGGTTGAATCACTCTCCAAAATATTTCCAAGTCCTCAACCACATCTCTCAAGCAAGTTTTCCCACTCTGGGGTTCGTAGTTGATAGGTGGACCTCCTGAAGCCCTGTAAAATGTTTTGGCTCATGCACATAACCGGAAGTAGAAAGCTTTCTATTCTTCAGATTCTCAAAATCGAGTCTAGGTCTTGGGAAATCAAATTGCCAGCAGATAACTGAGGATTTAACCTCTTGAATTTGTTGCTGACTACCTGCTTAATATAAATTTCAGTAACATAAAAGAAGAATGTTTGTTCCCATGCTGTAACTGAAGATTTCTAATAATTAAAGAGCAGTAGAGCCCCATCTATGACAGCAGCCAGTTTACTGCACTGGTATAACCTGCGAGCTAAATTACCACTAATTGTCTCATCTTTTGAAAATGTATTTAAGCTTCATTAGACACGTGAATGTCTGTTATAGCCAGGTGAAGGAGACCGACCTAGTCCCTAGCCTCACAAAGCTTGCAGTCTAGTTGGAGAAACAAACAAATCATTATCACACAGGGAAATAAATGTTTAGATAATTGAAAATTCAAGATGCTATAAGAACACATTGCCAAGGCACCCAACCCAGTCTGGCATTTAAGCTATGAGAATTGGCAAAATATCCAGACGCGGATGACAGCAGGTACTCTCACAGGTTTCTAGCAGACATGTAATAAGAAAACCTTGGCCAGGCGTGGTGGCTCATGCCTGTAATCCCAGCACTTTGGGAGGCCAAGGCAGGCAGATCACCTGAGGTCAGGAGTTCAAACCAGCCTGGCCAACATGGCGAAACCCCATCTTTACTAAAAATACAAAAATTAGCTGGGCGCAGTGGTGGGTGCCTGTAATCCCAGCTATTTGGGAGGCTGAGGCAGGAGAATTGCTTAAACCCAGAAGGCAAAGATTGCAGTGAGCTGAGATTGTGCCACTGTATTCCAGCCTAGGCAACAGAGAGAGGCTCCGCCTCAAAAAAAAAAAAAAAAAAAAAAAAAGAAAAGAAAACTTTCCTCTCAGAGAGGCAATTTAATGATATCTATTAAAAGTACACATATACCTTATGACCTGCAATTCTACTTTACAAGTTTATGTAGATATATTGCCTACATGCAAAATAACCTACATACAGTTACTTACTGTAGTATTGTTTAAGAGCAAACGTTGGCCACAACCCGAATGTTGTCCATCAATAGATCGCTATTTTATCTGTGGAACATCCATAAATGGACTCTGTTATTCTGTAACTGCTTTAAAAAAAGAATGAGGAAAGTGTCTTAGTACTCGCTTATTAAATCCTCCTCCATATATTGTAAGGAAAAAAAGCATACATTGCAGAGAAATATAGTATGCTATCTTTTATGTTATGAAGGGGTCTTTATGCATAAAGAAATTCGAAGGATGCATTAGACATTAACAGAGGCTGAGAGGATGGTGGGGGCAGAATTTGGGCAGACTCTGAATGCAAAATGTACGAAAATGGTATACTTAAAAAGTAATCCTTACATCAAGTGTGTGGGACATTGAAAAGGAAAAAAAAAAAAAGTAATCCTTTATTTTTCAAGCCCAAGTTATATCAACCCAGCACATTTTTTTGTTGTTGTTTATTATTTTAACACGCTTCTAAAATTCTGCAGTGATTAAATTAGAACATAAGACTGCTTTATTTTCCAAATCAGGGTTCCACTCTCTCCTTTCCTGCCTGTGTCCATCTGCCATCCTGAAGGGGGTTTCCCCGGAATACCTGAGAGTGAGGCAAGTCCTCGGTGTCTCCCTGCTCTGGTTTGTTGACTGAGGATATTCAAGAGATTTTTTAAAGCTCATGAAAGAATTTTGTTTTGTTCACTGCCTCATTTGCAACACTGAAAAGAATGCCTGGCGCACAGAAAGTGTTCAGTAAGTATTTGCGGAATAAATGAATTCTTTTCTTCACTCAGCTTCAATGAGACAGACACCACCACCAGACAAAGGGAAAGATATCAAAACGGTGTCAAATATTTGGAAATAGCTGCCATTCCTAGTACCAGCTCAAAACAGGCATTCTAACCTTAGCAACATTCCTAGAATTATTGTGAACTTCACAGAAGACAAATAATGTTAGAGAATACTGTGCTCAATAATACTAACTACCCACAAATATTTATTTTAAATAATTTGGGATTACACGGCCCTGGCGTCTATCTTAGGGTAAAAATCTTTTTAGGCAACCACCACACTAAACAGCAATGATAAAAAGTAAAAAAAAACCAAAACAGCTATCATCAGGGTCAAATGAACCCTAGTCTTCAGGTGCCCAGAGATATAGCAAGAAAAGAGAAAATCTTTTGTACCGAAAAATGCAACTATTTTTATTTTCAATAATAAAATTATACTTGAAATAAAATTCAAAGTACTCTAGGCAGTGAATTGAGTTGTACTGCTTCAACCACAGCAAGCAAAGCCTCTTCCTCCTCAGTGGGCACAGAATGGGTATAACTACCACAGCTCTTTAATTTTGGTTTAGATAACTATAAAAAACGGAATAACTTTGCTAGTAATTTCAGTACTGTTGCTAAAAGGTGCATGGCTGGCTGATATTTCTTTGAAGATTTTCTGTTTTCTTAAGGCGTGGTTGAGAGAGTTGATTGAGTGCTCTCTTTTGGCAGTAATGCAAACAGGTTAGGAAGTTTTGGGGTTACCTCTATTTCTCTGGCTGTCATTTAAAACGGCAATCCAAGACTGAGAAAACATCCATTCACCTGAAAGAGCTTGAAATTTAAGACTGTCCTGAGGATAAAATTAAAATTCTCAGAGTTAAGACATTTATGAAATGTCTTAACCAGAGAAGGGAAGATAGCAGCAAAGCTGCAGGATAACTGATAGACAGCCAATCTTCAGCTGATGCAAGTTAGACTCATGCTATAGCAGCAGGAAGCACCAAACCTACCAAACCTACTGTTTCCAGATGGTAGCACAGTAATTCCCACCTTGGTCCTTGCAGCAGTCAACACTCCCAGTCTCTGGCAGATCCTTTCGGAGCAGAGTGTTATAGGGCCACAGGATGACAGCTCTAGGGGAAGGAAAAGTCAGAGATTAAATGAGAATGAGGCTTTGATGCTATGTTTTGCTAGTTTTCTGGGGGAGGAGGTGAAATGAAGAGCCCTCTGATGCTACCCTCCTAGAGCTCTCCAATACTGACCCTCCAGGAGAGTTGCCAGGAAAATACTGGCTCTGATAGGTACTGACATTTCAGGACAAGAACAACTACTCAGCCATTCATTCCACTAATATTTGCCACCTGCCAGCCCCTATTTAAAGTTGGAGTAGCACGGGCAGGCAGATTCCCTTCCCTCCTGATGTTCATGTTCTAACACAGGAACACACACATAAACAAGACCAGTCAATGCCGCTCAAAAAAGTCAGAGTCAGGGCAAGACTGGTGTGGTTGATGTAGAGCAAGCGGTCAGGGAAGCCTTTCTGAGGAGATATTTAAGACTTAATAAGGGTTGAGGACGGGGCGGGGGCAGCTGCAAAAGAAGAGTAAGCCAGGCAGAGGGAGCAGCTCATCCAAAGGCCCTGAGGCAGGAATGAGCCAGGAAGGTTTAAAAAGAACAGAAAGGCAAGCATGGCTAGAGTATTGTGAACTAGGCATAGAGAAGGGAAAAAGAGTGCAGAGGGCTTTATAGGACAGTAGAAGGACTATGTACATAAAGGGCAAACTAAGTGTCACAGAAACTTAGGTTGATGTGCTGTGCATAATCTGCCACCTACTAAATGGTAGAAGATTTGCTTTGAAATACATACAGTTGCTGCAGTCTTTCAACGGATTTTTAAGTAGCTGAAATTTGCCCTGTGGATGGAAGCAAAATATAGGCCACTGGCCAGAGGTCTCCAGTTCATAGAACCACAATATGAATATCCAAAGAATACAGCCTGAGACTACCCAACAGTGCATATATGCATATGATTTGGTAGTGCATATATATATATATATATATATCTTTTAACTACCTAACAAATTTCATTAAAATCTATGTTTAACAACTGCAGGATGTACACTCATCTGCAACCAGAAATTGATTTTTAGTTGAGATCCCATCTTAATCAAAAATACTCAACTCTTGGAAGAAACTCAAGAACAAATGTGTCACTCTTAGGTATATACTCAAGAAAAATGAAAACACCAGTCCAAGCAAAAACTGTACACAAATATTCATAACAGCATTATTCATAATGGCCCCAAAGTGGAAACAACCCAAATGTCCATCAACTATTAAATGGATAAGCAAAATGTGGCAATCCCATATAATATTACTGAGCAATGGAAAGGAATAAAGAGTGATACACACTATAGCATGAATGAATCCTGACAACATTATTCTAAGTGAAAGAAGCCAGTCACAAAGACCACATGTTATATGATCCCATTTACATGAAATGTGCAGAATAGGCAAATCCATAAAGACAGATTTGTGGTTGCCAAGGGCTGGGGGACGAAGAGAAGGGAAAGTGAATGGTAATGGGTATAGGGTTTCTTTTTGGAGTGCCGTAAATATTCTAGAATTAAATAGTGGGGTTAGTTGCACAACTCTGAATATACCAAAAACTACTGATTTGTACAATTTGAAAAGGCCAGTTTTATGGTATGTGAATTATATCTCAGTAAAACTGTTGTAAAAATAGAAGAACAAAAGAATATCTGAAATGCTGTGAACAGATGAAATAAACTTCAAGTGGCCCAAAATGCTATATTCCAGTAAGCATTACTAGACCCTATTAAAAGGGATAAGCAGTTTACACTTCAGATACTGTATACTACACTCCCTGTGGGACATGTTTATCCCTCTGGAAAGATCACCTGATCCTTGGAGGATGTTTTTCTTGTTTCACTTGGAACCTTTCTCCAGTTATTACCCTCTCTCAACTCCACCTACCATCCCCACTCACTCTATGCAAATGAAATTAAAGCAGATAGTTGCTTTTGTGCTCTAACTCAAGTCTGTGGACAATTACAATTGTTTAGGGCATGGTATTAATGATATTTCTAATATGGTCAGCTTATAGATTTTATTCAGTTACACAGCCAAACCTAGCACTTTTCATCTAGTCAAGCTGAAAATGTGTGCTCTTGTCAAAAAGGAGAATGGGCAAAAGGGTAGATACTGGAATGCAAAACAAATTCAAGCTTACTACTCTAAAATCCCTTTCTGTATACATCTTAACATGGTGTTACATTAAGACTACATTCATTTTAAATAGTATCTTACAAGTTCATGATTTATTTTAAAGTATATGTAGAATATATAATTTCACAAAGGAATAAAGTAAATTATATAACAACAGCAAAATACTACTGTGAGACGATTAACGTAGAATCAGAGAGGCAGGTAAACACAGAGAGAGGTTCTTGATGACAAGGTGTAGTGGAAGAGGGAACACTATCTCCTGGGACTGAATATTGTTCTACCTGCTCCCTGTAGCGAATCACTGCAGAGGCAGCAAAGTTTGATGTTTATGAACAAAGATTCTGAAGGCCGACTCCACACTTAGCATGACTCCATGATTAAGTATTGTGGCTCCAGGCATGATACTTAATTTCTCTGAGACTTAGTTCCCTCATCTATAAATAGTACTAACTTAACAAGGTCCTTAAAAGGATCAAAGGTTATATAAAAACAAATAATAGATCTAAAGGGAGAGACAGACTGCAATACAATAATAGTAGAGGACTTCACCCCACTTTTGGCAATGGACAGATCATCCACGCAGAAAATCAGTAAAAAAACATTGGAATTAAACTATACTGTAGACCAAATGGACCTATAACAGACATTTACACAACATTTCATCCAACAGCTATAGAATATACATTCTTCTCAGCAGCACATGGAACATTCTCCAGAATGGACTATATCTTAGGCCACAAAACAAGTCTCCACAAATTCAAAAATGTCACTATCAAATCAAAGTGTCTTTTCTGAATCCAATGGAATAAAACTAAAAATCAATAACAAGAAGAACTTTGGAAACTGTGCAAATGTATGGAAATTAAACAACATGCTCCTGAACAATCAATGAAGAAATTAAGAAGGAAATTTAAACATTTCTCGAAATAAATGAAAACAGAAACACAACATACCAGAACCTATCAGATATAGCAAAAGCAGTACTGAGGAAATCTTATAGCACCATATGCCCACATCGAAAACATAGAAAGACTCCAAATAAATAACCTAATGGTGTACACTTCAAGGAACCAAAAAAGAACAAATCCAAAACTAGTAGAAGGAAATAATAAAGATCAAAGCAGAAATAAATGGAGAAAAAAAGAATCGAAGGAGTTAATACTAATAAAGAGATCAGAAAGAGCACCTGGTATACAATAAGCATTAGATGTATTTGTTAAATGATTAAAATAGAGTATACTAGTTAAATCTTGCAAAATGACTAAAACCGTGCTGCATATTTGCCTCTCAACTCCTTTGTAGTTACAGGGGAAGAAATTTTCCAAACTCAGAGACAGAAAATGCATGTATCTCCATATGTGTTAGGAGGAAGGCAAGTGGGAACCATATTTTGTTCCTCAGGAGAAAAAAGAAAGCATTTGACACTTAGCTTTAATATGGCCTGTAAACAAGAGGCAATGAGCAATACTGCAGACCAGGGAAGACCACCATATGATGTCACTTGATAGTTTTTCACTGCATTTCTCAATAAATCCCAAGGCATAACTCTCTAGAATTTCTGTAGTAGGAAGACAAGGCAATGTGATACAAATATACAACTCTGATGGTCGGCTCACAACTGCACCAGAAATCTCCAATCCATCTTTTACTTCCATTTCCCTCTGCCATGCTTCTGATAACCAGAGCTGAGGAGGAGACAGTTCCAGATCTCTGAAACAAATTCTCCAACATTAGGAGATGGCCAAAATATAGCCACATAAAAACACTAAGTAACCTGATGCATTGAAAAGCAACTCCCCCAGAAGCATGTTTTTAAGTTTAATGGACTTCAGAGTCATTGTCTGGCTAAAGAACAGCTATAATCATCTCAGGGGATTAAAGAACTTGGAAGAATATTCCTATTAGTCATATTCATTTCAGGCTCCAACTAACAGTTAAACACAGAACTTTCATGAATTACAAAAGCTATTATGCTTAAGCCATGTTTTACTGTAAATTGGACAGTAGATAACTTTTCTTTAAATGATTAGTTATACGGTGCAAACCTTAGCTAGAAAACGACCTGTGTTTCTTCAGATAGTCCCATATTGTACATGGAAGACATGATAAAGTTGAATTTCCACAGCTATTACACCATCCTGTGACTAAGCTGATGTCCCAGTGATTTATCAGCCTTTTTCACTCCATCTGGCAAAGTATGTTGTTCTTAAGGCTATTTAATAATGTTTTCTTCAGACAAAAATGGTACTAATCTTATAGTGGTTAATCAACTATAGCAATGTATTTTCATTTGCATACCTAGGGAGTATTGCTAAAGAGAGTAGAAAATAGATTAATTCCCTTGCGGTTCATGTACACTAAATGTAGCATTCTGTAAGGAAAGAGAGCAAGAGATGGCATTTATAACTAACTCCTGTGCGTTCTTGGAGAAGCCTTTTTTGACCCTCCCAGACCGCATTTGGTTTCCTTTCCCTTGCTCCACGTTACTCTCTGCTTTTTCTCTGACATAACAGCTTGCTAACTGTAACTTTGGTCAATTATTTGTAGAGATTTACTTGTCTCTTTCCAGTCAGACTGCAAGCTCTGTGAGGGAAGGGATCACATGTGTCAGATTCTCTGCTGTCTTTCTGGCACAGAATTGAGGGTTATAAATATTTGTTCACTGACTAACTCCCACTTTATAAGATAAGCTGTGTTCCTAAAGAATCACATGTCAGTTCCTCTCAAGATAAGGAAGTCACTGAAGTAATCTTATAAGGGGAGTAAGGAGAGGGAGTAAGTCCCACTAATACCATTTAATATTATGAAACAGTGACCCACAAGTTTGAACTCTGAAAATTACAGAAGCAGAGTCCATGGATATGGCTATGGCAGATGTGACTGA